TTGGGAGGCTGAGGCAGGAGGACTGCAAGTTCAAGACCAGACTCAGCAGCTTAGCAAGGTCTTGCCTCTAAATTTGAAAAAAATTAAAATCCTAGGGATGGGGTTCAGTGGTTATGCACCCCTGGGTTCAATCCCTGGTATACCTCCCCAAGCCCAAATAGAAAAGACAAGTTAGGTAAATAGTTTTGTCTAAAGCCAACAGACCAGTGATGAAGAGAGAGGTGTTTAACACACCTACCCCATGTGAACTATTGTTTCTCTGAGAGAAAGATTTTAAAATGTTGTGTAAAAAAAGGAAAAGAGCTATATCCTGTATGTCTTCTAAGACAACCAGAGCTCCAGGCAGGCCAGTTTTGCATCCTGAGTGTCAGAGATAAGCTCCCCAGTTACTATGAACAGGAAGGGGACTAAAAAGGTCAGAGAAGCCAGGGGACCAATCCTCTCCTTAACTGAGAAGATGCAGGAGCAGGCCTCTTTCTTTATGGTCTTGGTTCTCTTGCACTGGCAGGAGCAGTGATGCCTTTGGGGATGACTGGCTGCATTACCTTCTTGGGTGGGACCATCAGTGCTTTTGGTATCAGCAGTCACAGTACAAAATAGGAGAAGAGGATGATGGTAGATAATATGTGGTACAAAAAGAATTAGCCTGTAAGCATGTCCAAGATCCTCCCTGTGCATGTCTTCACAAGGGGAAATTTGATTGAGTCAGAAGTCCTACCAGAAGTGGGATGTGATAAGGACAGAGCATAACATTCTTGGGTCCCCTGGCCACCATACTAAGGATTGACTCCAGGGGTGCTCTACCACCGAGCTGCATATGCATCTCTCTTACTTGAAATTCTGAGTCAGGGTCTTATAAGTTACCCAGTCTGTCTTCGAACTTTCGATCCTCCTTCCTCAGTCTCCCAGATCACTAGGATTACAAGTGTGTACCACTGTGGCTGGCAAGAATGATTTTCTTGATGATACTAGGAATTGAACCCAGGGGTGCTTTAACATTGAGCTAAACTGCTATTCCTTTTTTTTTTTTTTTAATTTTAAGAGTAAGTTGCTGAGGCTGAGCTAAAACTTGCAATACTCCTTCCTCAACCTCCCAAACTGCTGGATTACAAGTGTGCACCACCATGCCTAGCTAAAAATGACCTTTTTTTTTTTTTTAGTTATTGTGGATTAAAATTACACATTTAATTTTTTTTAATTTATATATGACAACAGAATGCATCACAATTCTATATTACACATATAGAGCACAGTTTCTCAAATCTCTGGTTGTATAGAAAATATATTCACAACAATTCGCGTCTTCATAAATGTACTTTGGTAATAATAATGTTATAATAATAATAATAATGTTCATCATATTCCACCATAATTTCGAACCCCACGCCCCCTCACTTCCCCTCCAGCCCCTCTGCCCTTTCTAGAGTTCGTCTATTCCTTCCATGCTCCCCTTCCCTACCCCACTATGGATCAGCCTCCTTATATCAGAGAAAACATTTGGCATTTGGTTTTTTGGGGATTAGTTAACTTCATGGAATCACCATTTGACCCAGCTATCCCTCTCCTTGGTCTATACCTAAAAGACTTAAAAACAGCATATTACAGGGATACAGCCACATCAATGTTTATAGCAGCACAATTCACAATAGCTAAACTATGAAACCAACTTAGATGTCCTTCAGTAGATGAATGGATAAAGAAAATGTGGTATACATACACAATGGAATATTACTCGGCAATAAAAGAGAATAAAATCATGGCATTTGCAGGTAAATGGTTGGAGTTAGAGAAGATAAGAATGACATTCTTATGGTCATTGTGATATTATTTTTATCCCTAAATAGTAGTGCTATCTTGAGGTATTCCTAAGGGGGATAAAGTAAATCCACTTGACATAAGGAGATTAAGGCTCTTTATACTCTAAATTTTAGTATCCTCTCAAAATTTGTATGTAAAGCCCTAACTCCCAGTGGTTGGTATAAGGAGGGCCTTTGGGTGATAATTAGATTTACCTGAGATCATGAGGGTGGAGCTCCTTGATGGAATTTGTGTCTTTTTAAGAAGAGTCACCATAACCTCCATACACTGCCACAAAAGGATACAATGAGAAGGCAGCCATTTACAAGCCAGGAAGAGAGTCGTCATTGGAAACCAAATCTGTTGACCTTCATCTTACACTTCCCCACCTCTAGAACTTTGAGGATATAAATTTATGTTGCTTAGGCAACTTTGTGGGGTTTCTATAGCAGCTAGAGTAAAAGCCCAAATGAGTAAGTGATTTATATAAATGTAAAAGTAGTATGTTTTCTCTAGAGAACATGAGAGTTAAGTCTGTTTCAGCCTCAGTTAATACATTTATATATTCTCTGTGGCAATGTGGTGGGACTGAAAATGCTTAGCAATTTGGTAACCAGCACATCATATCAGGCGTGTCAGTAAACTTCCTGCCCCACTATAACAAATACCTGAGATAACCAACCTATAAACAGAAAAGATTTATTTTAGCTCACCATTTTGGAAGTTTAATTCCATGGTTGGTTGGCCCCTTTGGTTTAGGGCTGTGGTGCTATATAGCAAGAGCATGTGGCAATGCAAAACCACTCCCCTCGTGGCTGAAGTTGGTGGGGGAGAGGAAAGGAGTAGAGTTCTACTATCCCTTCAAGTACACACTTCAGTGACCTAAAGATCTCCCCCTAGTCCCATCTCTTAAAATTTCTACCACCTCCAAATAGTACCAAGCTTTTATGGGCCATTCAAATCCCCTGGTATTATAGTACCAGGGACCTTCCTCCAGATTACAGAAGGTATTAAATATTTTTATTCATGCCTTTATTTCATTCACCTATTACTTCTAAAATATCTATTATTGCTTTTAAGAACTTAATGGTGGATCAGGTCCTAAGCCAGGAGGTGAAGATTTTTGTAAGCATGCTTTGGCTTTGCTTCCCATTGTATTCTGAGCTTCTTGAGCATGTTTACCATTGTGTTTATCATGCATTACTTAAGGAATATTTGTTGAATTAAGGGAATGAATAAATGTGACATTGAGTCTAGCCTTTCTTAGCCAGACTCCAGAGGAACATGGTGATGATCCTGAAGTAGTTCTTCTACTTATTAGCATTGTTGCAGTGTGCACTGCTAATATGATTCTTTTCTCTTGGACTATAATTAACAACACACATGTTTTATGCCAACATGTTTGTGGAGTTCAAATATGAATAAGACATTGTGAGTTTATGGTCTTGAGGAGAAAAAAGAGACAAACAGGGGAGCTCTGACATAAAATAGTGGAAAAATGTGGACTCAGTCCAACCTGAGGTTTTAAGTCAGTCTTCTTGGCTATGATTTTGGCTTTACCTTGCTGAACCTACAAAATTTTTCCAGAAATGCTATGATTTATCTGACCCCTATTATATTTCATACATTATTATCCTTGTCCTAAAATTAGACTACTTAATCTGCACAACAAACTGAAATGATATTATCCCAGATTGAATATTTAAAAAAAACAAAAACAGAACCTCAGAAAATTAAAGCAACTTGCCCAAGATGCTTACTAATTAGTAAGTTTGAGAGCTGGGGATGCAAACCCAGGTCAGTCTGCTTTTTTCTTAGTGTAGACTCACATAAAATCAGAATTATACAGTGTGGAGAACACACTGGGCTTGAAGCCAGCTCCCAGAACTATTTCCTATTATCTATGTGATCTTGGGTAAGTCATGTAAAACTCTAAGCCTCAGTTTTTTTTCATCTGTAAAGCAAGAATGAGACAATTACATGATAGGATAGTTATGATAATTCAAATATAGAATTTAATTTGAAGTAGTAAAGCAAAGTGCTTAGCTCCATGACTATTATTAAGAAAGGACATTTAGTCTCCATAGATCTGACCAGAGATTCATGATGTCCTTGTGTTTGCACAAAATACTTTATTTCTCTTGTGTGCACACTTCAAAAGCACAACTGTTAGCCAAGAGCAAACCCTGAGTAATTGTCTTGAGAATATGAGGTTTTATCAGTAGCTTTCGAGGTAAAAATGTCTCCCAGAGGAGAAGCAGAAGCATATTTTCACACTAACTTCTAAGTCTCCTAAATTCTTGGGAACAGTTCTGTGAAATAAATTGAAAAAGACTGAAAATACTATGTAAACTTGCTTCTTTCCACTGATGATGGGGATTGGATTTGACAGGAGACCAGCAACTCAGACAAGTCTTAGGATTCCAAGGAATTTTAATGGGCAAATAAAAGTTAATAATAACTGTCAGATCAAGACCCAGATGATCATGTCAAATCCTCACAAGCATATCAATGGTATTCCTTCCACATCTTATGTATGTGCCAGACTACCAATAGCATGGCCAGTGTGCCACAATATAGCCCAGAGCCATGAAATTTGACAAGGATTTGGTTGACCATATTCATACTCCAAATATGATCCTCAGACCAGTAGTATCAGTTTCACTTGGAAACTTGGAACTTTTTGGGTTTTACCCAGACATTGGGTGAATCTTGGACTGCAATGCACAAGAACTAGGTGATTTTTACATTCATGAAACTCTAAGAAATATTAAATTAATTCTGATGAGGAAGAGCTTGTGCTCAGATCTATGTAGTGGTGTTAGATGCTTTTTAACTTCCTATCTGTGTATCTTTGGGCAAGTTACTTAATCTCACTGAACCAATTTCCTCATTTATAAACTATAAATACTAATAGTTCCTATATTACATAATTATTTGAGAGTAAATGTGCAAATTAATATAAAGCATTAGGTTAGTACTTGATGTATATTAAGTGAGCTAAGTGTTCTTATTTTACAAACCCATGTCAAACAGAATAGAAACAGAAAATTATAAACCTCCAAAATGTTGAAGTCAGAGGCCAGTGCTATGGTTTAGATATATCCCCCTGGCCAAAAAAAGTTTCTATATTAATTCAGGAATTAATTAATTAATTAGTTAGTTAATAATAAGTGAAATGACTATATTATAGGAGCTGTAACCTCATGAGTGGAATAATCCATTTGATGGACTAATAATCTGAAAGGACTACAGAAATGGCTGGTAAACATGAGACGGTAGAGTATGACTGGAGGAAGCAGCCCCTGGGGCCGTGTCCTTTGGGATTATATATCTTATCCCTGACTCCTTGGGTGCTCTCTTTCTGCTTCTGGGTTGCTATGCGTTGAGCAGTATGCCTTCACCATGCCCTTCTGCCATGATGTTCTGCTTGATCTTGGGCCTAGAGCAAGGGTGTCTGCCAACCATGGGCTGAAACCTTTGAAACCCTGAGCCAAGAAGCTTTACTCCTCTAAGTTGTTCTTGTCAGGTATTTTGGTCACAGTTATGCAAAGCTGACTAACATAACCATCAACTTTGTTTCCTCTCAAAGAAGAACTGTGAAGGAGGGGAAATGTTCACACAGTGGCTTTATGAGGAGATTCATGCCTGGATCAGCCATGACATCTGATCAGACAGATTAGAAAAGGTCAGCAAATATCTGGAACACATATTGCATACCAAAATTTAAGTTAAATTATGGTATATTCTATCTTTTCTAATCATAAGCTTCAGTTTCTGTTCAAGTCTGTTTCCTAAGAAAAGCCGAGAGCCTCCCAGTAAAATTGAAATGTCTGTTTTCATGACTGTTACCTAATGACTTGGGGTTAGGATGTTTGTTATAGTAACATTTTTGAGAATACATTTTGCCACAGACAACTTTATTTGTTCACCTATGTTTATCATAGGAATTTGATTTTACTCTCTAACCTGTTTATAACAATCTACTATTACATCCCTGATTTTACCCTAGACCACTGGATCAGTATAAAAGGACTGTGCAGACACTCCTCAAATTAATAGTGCAGGTGTGGTACTGCTCACCTGTAATCCCAGCAACTCAGGAGACTGGGGCATCACAAGTTTGAGACCAGCCTCAATAACTTAGCAGAATCCTGTCTCAAAATAAATTAAAAAAAGAAAAAAGGACTGTGTATATAGCTTAGTGGTAAAGCACCCCTGAGTTTAATCCCTAGTACCAAAAAAAAAGAAAAAAAAAGAAAAGAAAAGAAAAAAGAATTGAGAGCACAGATTAAAGAAGTTGTTTTATTGTTTTTATTTTTTGGTGAGAGAGAGAGAGAACCCATGCTGGAGATTGGCAATAGTGTCCTGTGCATGGTAAGCAAACTATCTACCACTAAGCTACATCCCCAACTTTTATAAAAGATATTTTTAAAGTAAAATAAAGTAACTTTGCAATTAACTTTAAAATGCACATATGTATGCATTTTAAAGTTAATTTTAAAGTTAATTTAATATATATTTAAATAATAAATGCTGTCTTGCTATGTTGCTCAGGCTAGACTCAAACTCCTGAACTCAAAGAATCCTCCTGCCCCAGGCTGCTGAGTAGCTGGGTCTATAGACCATGCCACTAGGACCAACGGACCGGCTAACATACATATTGTACAATTTAAATGTGCCACAATTAGCAAGTGTTAGTCATTATGTACTATTTGGTTGGGCAGAAGGATAGTTACATAAAAAGGGTGTACAAAATAGATTCATATTAGAAGCTCAGATTGTGTGGAATTGGGAAAATTTAAATAGACTATGGATAAAGGATACTAAACATCTATATGTCAAACAGTTCTGAGTTAATGATACTTTAGAGATCGTAATTTTAAGCCATATTTGCTTATTTCATCATATTAGCTATTTAATCTAGTTTTCCTCCCTCATTAGTTTATGATAACTGAAGTGGACTGTTTTCAATTTAACTTAAGGATGTCTTTTAAAATCATTTTCATCTTTAAAAACATAATTAATTTCTTCAAGTGTCCAGGTGGGAAAATCTCTTCAATAAATATACATACATACATATAAATGTATACACAGGCAAATAATAACTTAGATATTAAATGGGGAATTAGTAGATTCATGTGCAGAGAGAAAATTGCTATTTATTGGCTATGCTAAAAGATATTTGCATAAAGTAATGCAATTCATTTCTGGAAAATAAACTTCTTTTGTCAGTGGGGAAAAAAATTCTTTCTCATGGGAGAAAATCTTTCTCATACCAGGATTTGTTGAATTTGAACTGCCCAGGCATTGTAGTACCAAAGCTTTCTCTTTTAATTAGTTGGATAAACTAGAATAACTTTCCTGCATACAGAAAGACTATTGTGTTTTAAATGCTCAAAGCCTAATTAATCAAAATATCAGAGTTCATTTGTACCAGAAGAAAACCAGGAGAAGAGATGGGGGAGGAAATTCTCACAGTTGTCTTTGTTCCATGGTGTTAACAGATTTAAAACTTCACCTGTATCACAAACTGTACCTCTGCAAGGACAGTGAGAAGACACAGCTGTCTGCCTTGGCCCTCTTGCCATACCAAGTGGATTTTGTCAAGGCATCTATTGTGAGGGTAAAGAAGCTCATTCGTTTAATGACACATTGGCTCAAGTCATCATTTGCCAACCCCACCGAGGAAAATAAGTGTGTAACCAGCACATGGGCCCCATGTGAGCCTTTCTCTTTTCATGTCCCTTTTCTTTATTCTTTCAGGTCCCACCCCTTTCCTTGGAGGCTGAGGGGATGGGGGTGGGCATAAATGCTGTTATAGAATATGGAACATCTGTAGGGTATTATTCCAAAACACAGAATAATGGTTTGGTAGGAACCAAAGAGTAGAAGCAAAAATATTCAGTGGTATAACTGAATAGATTGATGTGAGGAAGGAAGGCACAGAAAAGAAAAAGAGAAACTCCTAATATGATTTGAATGGGACCTTTGATGCTTGTGCTTCAAGTTTTCCTCCTGTGGCAGCCAGTTCCTCCAGGCTGAGCTGTTTTCCAGAGAGCAGGATCTGCAAAAGTTGACATGTGCATATTTCAGTGTCTTTCCTTTCCTTCGTTTGCAACAAAATCTAAGCTATGGTGAAGGGATGCAAAAGAGACACAGTGATGGTTTGAATATTTCAAGTAAAACATTTGAAAAACAGAGAACTGGAATAAATTTGTATAAATTCTCCATTCGGCAGAAATAGCAAAGATGGGGATTTCTTATAACATTTATACATAGCCACTTTCTACAGGGAATTTGTCTTCATCTTTGTATAAAGTTGCTAATAATCTTTATTGGTTAATCTGAATGACACATTCTCTGTTTACTCTTTGTATATGTTTGTGTTTAACATTGATGTTAACATTAGTCACTTTGTAAAAACATACATTACTTCTATGTAACTGCCCCCATCACTGAACATCTCTAAACATTGTCTATATATATATTTTTTTTTTCTCATTTGGTTGAGTAAAAAATTACTGGTGAAAATATAAAAATGGAAGAACAAAGAAATAAAACTTCTTGAATGTGTAGATTCTCCTTCAGATGACAGGTCTGGTTTTGAAATCCAACACTTCTTTTTCTCTTTTGTAGTGAAGAGCATTTACAGATCTTGGGAACCTTACCTATTACAGCAGCAATAACAATAATTCTAAGACTTTTAAAAGGTAGCTTTGTGGGGGAAATTGGACCACATATATTGCAATCTGTAATTGATTTTCTATTTTGGGAGAGTAATCTCATAATATGTGCTAAGTATTTATTATGTGTTAAGAATCTTTAAATATTCAAACCATTTGTCAAGTTAATTCCACCCTAGAAAATGTTTGCTTATTTTTATGTGATTTTGAAAAAGGGATTGAGGCCACTTATATTAAAAAGAATTCATAAAAGAATACTCAAAATGAAGATTTTTATTTTTTATTTTTTTTTTATTGTTGGTCGTTCAAAACATTACACAGTTCTTAATACATCATCTTTCACAGTTTGATTCAAGTGGGTTATGAACTCCCAACTTTACCCCGTATACAAATTGCTGTATCACATCAGTTACCCTTCCATTG